GACTTAGAAATTATGTAATCACTTAATCACAATCAAGAAAAAAAAGAACTTCGGGGAAGGGAGGGAGGGAGGGGATGGTAGGGGGAAAACAATGGAGGGGCTAACAATGTTCAAGAGGAAGTGTATTCATTACCTCACTCATGTAACTGTAACCCTCTGTATAGTATCTTTACAATAAAAAATTTAAAAAAAACAAAAAAAAAAGATACATAGATAGGTAGACTGACAGACAGACAGATGGATGGATTGTATCATTGAAAAATGATTCTTCCCTTTCAGCATTCTTCAAAATCAAGACAAATAGAACAGTACAGTAGTCACCAGTGTGACCATCTATAATTTGGAAACCTGATTTTCTATTACCTTTGTCTCAAATCTGGACAAACTCTTACAAATCTGCTGAAGTTAACGAATAGTGTCATAAAGTGAGGCCTGGACCCTTAGAAAAACATAAATCTAAAGATATTCACTGGGAGACCCCAAGATACAGATAGATCCCAGAGCAACAATGACCAACCAAACTTAGGTGCTATAGAAAGGATCTCCATAACTATTGCAACTAATGTATAAATTACCATCTTAATATGAATTGTTAAAATCTCAATTGCTTCAGAGAAAGAAATGGTGCATGTTTTCTCTTACATCCAGAAGCTAGACGTGGTAAATTATATAGGATTCTAGACATTCACAGTGAGACCAAAGGAGGAGATTTTTAGGATCCTGAGAAACACAGAAGATGCAATGCCTATATGCATCTGACCACATAAAATAATATTTATCGAAATGGGAAAAAAAAAAGTCCATTGCAGCCTAATCTAATTCAAAGAGCTCAATTAAAATATAGTAAGGAAAGGAGTAAAGCCAAGGTATGCACTTAAGAACTTCGAGCTATGGGCTGAGAGCATGGCCTAATTGATAGAACCCAAGCCCTTCAGGCCCTGAATTCAAACCTCATATCACCACCACCAAAAAGAAAAAGACAAAAAGTAGCTCATCTAGTCTGTATAGTCACTTAAATAAGGTCCCAACCAGTTCAGTACGTCAAAACCCTTCCAGCAGGAAAAAAAAAAATTTGTTAGTTGACCAAAACAAACGCAAGGACACATCCAAAGTCAGACAATTTATGGGGTCCCTATCGCGGTGACGTGATGGCCACGGCGCAGCTTACTCCTTCCCAAGCACAGAGTAGCGGGAGGACAAGCGGAAGGGGCGTGGCGCGAGGCGGCCAGAGGCGGCGGTCGGAGGAGGTTCCGCAGGCGTTTGACCGCGAGTGCCGCGAGGCATGCCGGAAAAGGCCTGTTCTCCCTGGTATTTCAGGCCCGGAAGTCTGCGTGCGGGCCCCCGCCTGCTCTCCCCACCCACTGCCTGCTCCTCGTCCTGCGTGCGTGGAACCTACGTTACCTTTCCCAGAGTACGGCTCATTCTTTGCGGCTGCGGCCTCCAGACGAACAGAAGATCCGCCCCAGCAGCCGCGACCCCGGGGGCGTCTGAAAACGGTGACGGAACGGCCTTGCTCAGGTCCGGTAGTAAAACCCGACCGAGTTTCGCTCAACTCCGGCAGCATCTTGGTTCCGGCAGCTTTCGCGACTCAATAAGTAGGGATCCTACTCCTCATCAGCATTCAGTGGTCACCTTCACCGCTATAATTAATTAGTCACCCTCCAAGGTCACACAATCGTATCTCACTTACTAAACGTATTTGTTGGTGTAACTTCCCATACTTGATTGAGTTCCTCCAGGAACTCAAATTCTATCGCAATTCTTTAGAGCTTCTATAACAGAACATGAATATGACCTGTCACCGCGACCTCAGAACTGATTAGACCTACGTGAACTTTTCTACCACTGAGCCACCTTCCTAGCCCCCTGTGTCTGGTTTTTAACTACCTTTTTGGAGTGGCCATTACGTTATGCGTTATGCTCATAGATCACATTGTTTTCCTTAGGAAGCCTGCTGGGGAGATACCAGTTTTACAGATAAGGATGTTTTAAGGGACATATTTGAAATCAATTAATTGAGCTGAGTTTTCAATTTGTCTAATTTGTATCGTTGGTTTTCCCTCTGACATGCCTTTTATAGTGATGATGTGACTGGGAATGTGACCTAGTGGTAGAGTGCTTGCCTTGCATGCATGAAGCCCTGGGTTCAATTCCTCAGTGCCACATAAACAGAAGAAAAGAAAAAGTGGCACTGTGTCTCAAGTGGTAGTGTGCAAAAGAAGCTCAAGAACAGTGCTCAGGCCCTGAGTTCAAGCCCTAAGCCTGGCAAAAAAGACAAAAAGAAATAGAGTGATGATGTCAGTATACATATTCATTTATTTACACCCAGTAAAGCTTTTTTTTTTTTTGTCAGACTTGGGCCTTGAACTCTGGGACTGAGTGCTGTCCCTCAGCTCTTCAGCTCAAGGCAAATGCTCTGCCACTAGAGCCACAGCACCACTTCTGGTTTTCTGGTGGTTTAGTAGAGATAAGTGTTTCTCAGACTTTCCTGCCCAGGCTGGCTTTGAACCACGATCATCAGATCTCAGCCTCCTGAATAGCTAGTATTACAGGCATGAGCCACCAGTGCCTGGCCATTAAAACATTTCGTTAGGACTCCCTGTGCCAGCTCTTTGATAGACTCCTGGGAGCACATAAATTAATATTACATGGTATCTGCCTGCCACTGGGCCCCTTCTGTGCGCCAAGACATTCACGAGCTTCAATTTAAAAAATAAAAAGGGAAGAAATGCCACACCACATACACTTGGTTGAAACTTCTGGAATGAAAGGTTCTGGACAGGAGTGGAGGCTGGCATAGACTCAAGCCCCAGGCATCTCCCAGCAGTTGGTGGAGAACTGGATTCCCTAGAGAAGACAATCTGGTCAGACTTAACCTGTTGTTCTCTGAGAAAGAGAAGTTCCAGTGTGACTGCTGCTCACCACAGTGACCCAGGGCCCAGTGGCAGGATGCCTGTACTGTGCCCTGACAAGTCCCACCTGGGAGAGCGTCTGTCCTGCCTCCAGGCCAGTTCAGGCCTGCCATTGTACACAACAACCCTTGTTTCCTCCTCTAACAAGCAGCTCAGTATCCAACCACCGTGGGAATCCAGTCCGAGAGGCACAATGGAGGGGAAGCTGCCGAAGCAAGCATTTGGAAAGGAGCAGAGATCACAGCAGGCAAAGCAGCCATGAAGATGTGTCTGCAAGGAGTCCTTAGCTGGGTTCAGCAAAGAGAGGCCGGCGCAGGTGAGCAGAGCACTTCCATAAAGCTGCCTGTGGTGGCTAGATGGCTTCTGATTTGTGGTGGCTAGATGGCTTCTGATTTGACATCGGCAACAGAATAAGGGGCTGCAAATTCAATGAATAGTCTCTGGCCAGAGAAACAAGGTCAAACGTTTAAGTTTCTGCACTTCCAGTGGTTCCTGGTATTTCCAGCTGAGTGGACATCTTTCTGTGACCAGTGGGTGTCACGCCACCTTATGCGGAGTCTGCGTGAGAGATCGCGTTGGACAAAGAGCTTCAAGGAAGCATGCCTACAGGAAGGGGGTGTTGGTTCAAGGCTTCCCATACACTTGGCTGCACCTTTATAGCCTCTACCTTTATTCTTACTATATTCTTCTTGGCTGTACATTCGTTGCCTTTATTCTCGTTTTGGCTATTTTTCTATTGATCCTCGAACAGAGCATGTTGTATTTTTCCAGTCCAATAGAAACGGCTTCTCTAAGTAATAAAGACTAAGGCCAAAGATTAAATGTGGGCAATGCCCCAATCAATCTATCATCTGATGTGACGCTGCCTCTAGAAACTCCTACAACTGGGGCTGGGAAGGTAGCTCAGTGGTAGAGTGCTTGCCTTGCATGCCTGAGGTCCTGGGTTCGATTCCTCAGCACCACATAAGCAAAAAGAAAAAAGCCGGAAGTGGCTCTGTGGCTCAAGTGGTAGAGCACTAGCCTTGAGCTGAAGAGCTGAGGGACAGCGCCCAGGCCCAGA